TCTCTCTCTCTCTCTCTCTCTCTCTTCCTCTCTGCCTCTCTTCCGATACACGTGCCCACTCACACGACACACGCACACACACGTACACCTGTACACACGCACGTGCAACATCCATCAACATTACATAACCTCACGTTCATGATAAATGACTGATCTATTGCCCCAAAAGTGTACCCAACACTCAATAATTATCTCCTAGTAATCTTTCTGAACAGCTTCGCTGAAAGCGTGACCCCCTTCATGCCCAACATCCATCAATCATCTATCTTTATCTCCAGGCACTGAAGAATTATCAAATAAGCTGCTCGGAAGAGCTACTTACTCAATGATGCTTTATCGTGCAATCTCACACGGCCTTTCTTAGCTTCTGTATTTGCCCCCGTATCAAAGGTTAAGCTGCCCGCGTCCCTAAGACTTCTGGTTAAGACAGTCGTCAAATTTAAGCCAGACGAGTGAGACTGGAAAATCCGGGAAAACACTTCAGACAAGCAGCAGCTGAGGGCCGGTCACGGACTCGGTTCCATTGGGAATCAATAAATCCCGAACAAATTATCTCAAACGTCATCACTGCATGGACGCTAATCACCATCCGGTGCTCTTGGAAAATGCTCTCTGTTCATAGTTTTTCAACCAGGTCCTTTTTCTTTAGGGTTTTGTGGGTGCTTTTTTTTTGGGCCTCTCCGTGTTCTGTTTTTGTATATCGCTCTCATCTCCCTCCCGACCTCTCAATCTATCTTCTCTTTTTCTTCCTGTCTGTGTTTGTCTGAGTGGGGTTTGCGTGTATGTTTACAGCTGTCTTTAAACCTGTATATATCTATACCAGTATGTTTATTTATCAATAAAAACGTGTATCTATTTGTCTGGTCAACTGTGTAATATTTGCCTTTCACTCATCTCGCAACCCAAGCTTTTAATTGTCCACGCTGCTCCGTTTCTATCTCAAGATCAGTCAGTTTGTCCGTCTGTGTGTCTGTCTGTCTGTCCTTCTGTCTGTCAATAACCATTACCAGACATGGAAACGATGTTCAAAAGGTGAAATCTTCATATCAGAAACATCTTCGTGCTTCCTAAACTACGAAACAAAGTGAAGAAGAAGGTTATAAGATTATAAGATATACGCTTTTATTTAGCTACATGCCGTTGTCACAGAAACTAGGATAGCACTCAGTTTTTGTTTGTGAGTAACCCCCTCCCCCCCCCCAACCACCCCTTTTTCCTATTTTTCTCCCCTTACTTACTCCTAACGCAATAAATGTCAAATCTGAAAAGGGTACGCTAACGTGGTTTTCGGGTTTTCCATCCTCTCTGTAATAAAAAGACGACATACAATACAAGTTCTGAATCTTTTGTCATGGTTTCCTATTCCGTGCTGCAAAGGTCAATTCGGCCCTCATTCCTAATTGCCGTGACGTCATGACGCTACTAATTGTGAGGCAGCGTGGTGGAATCAGGCTCTCGTCAAAATAATCAAAGTGAAAAAACTTGCATTTTTCCACAGGTTTTTTAAATTTTTATCAAATTTTTGTTTTTTGGCTCAACACCTTTCATATCCATTAAAGAACTCGTTTCTGTGTGGATTTTTCTTTTTAAAAACGTTGATTAAAAGCACAAAAAATGTAAATTTCCGTTACCACGGACTCTTGAGCTAAGGAAATAACTCATCTTTGGCGGCCATTTTCTCACTAATTTTACCTCTGAAAACAGGTGACCCCCACCTCCTTCTTTCGCAAATATCTCGACTTGTATTCAAGATAAATTGATATTTTTTTCATCCAAATAAAGACAGGTCAACAAGCTTTAAGATGATATCAATAACTGTACAAGCCCAAAAATTGACGAGACCCTGATTCCACCACGCTGCCTCACAATTATACAATATCATGTCATTTCGTCAACAACAGAACCGCCCAGAATTTATTTTCCTCTTTAACATTATGTTCCTGGGGGTTTTTTCCCCTATGATAAAGAAGCCTGTATACAGCACGTTTTGTTTCTTAGCGGAGTTCGAAGAAGCCGTAAAAGATGCATGCATCTATACTTGACTCGTTAGACCAAAGTCCGGGTTGAGAGAAGACTTCTAAGCGTCACTGAAGCCATGAGATATCTCAGGCAAAAGCTTCCCGAAACTTGTGTCAAAAACTGTTTTTGTATACACTTAATAGCAGAAGAGTTAACGCTCAGATGCTACTGGATCGCTAACAACAACAACATACACTTACTATAAAAAAAAGGAAGGGAACATATTTTTTTTTAAATAATAATAAAAGCACAAAAAACAACAACATCAAAACAAAAAACTAAGAAACATTCAAACAAACAAACAAACAAACAAACATACAAACTAGCAAAAAAATAATAACATACATAACGTTCAACTCTGAATTCAATTTTTAGAACAAGGGTGTGATTTGTTGTGGTTGTTTAAGAATTGCTTTTCTAGGGAAGTAACAAAGTTACAAAGTCTCTCCTTTATATAATAATAAGGTTTCTCCAGTGTATCTGTTTAACCGTGCAGACCACGACCAAAGGCTGCAAAACGTTTCTTTGGTGTTTGTTTTGTGTTTGTTTTGTGTTTGTTTTGTGTTTGTTTTGTGTTTGTTTGGTTTTGTTGTTTTTTTTTGGTGTTTTTTTGGGGGTGGTGTCAGTTTTGTGGTTGTGTTTGGTTTGTTTTGTTTTGTTTTGTTTTGTGCCTTATGATCATTATGCGTTCGCTTCGTCCTTAAAGAGTTACAGAAAAATGACTGCCAAACATGTGAACTCGATGGGAAAACAATCAAAAGAAGCAATAAATGTCTTCTTTTTTTTTAACACCCCCAAAAGCAGTAATAGATAGCTATTCAAGTTCCTGGAATGTTGTGGTTACTTCTTGTGTCATGACAGCGGTGACGAGAATCAATCGGTATGTCTTTACTACAAGAAGAAAAACAGTCTTGGAAAACAAACAAAGCACTCGTAGAAGGTGAAAGTAAGAACAGAAAAGTCATCCCTCCTCTGTTCGATATCAGCTTGACAGACTGTACCTCTCGCCTCGCCTCGTCTCTCGCATGTGTGGAGAAAAAGCTCTCAAATGTCAACACGGCTTTTCCATCAGCACCGCTCTCGTCTTTGGTGTATCTCGTGATGCGGATCGGGACTCTTCATTGAGATTGTCAACGATTGGACCAGATTTACGCCGAGAGGCCGGAAACTATATCTCTCCTCTCAGTCTTCCTCTAAGTTCTTTTCTGAGTGGTGTGTCGTTTTATTTCTTGTTTATTTTTATGGAGGGTGAAAAGGGGGAAGAGTGGCACGCTTATGACCTATATCTCGAGATACAACGATCATTATCTAGTGTAACAGTGGAGCCTGCTTCAACGGCCACGTGCCTAAGGCTATCATTTGTGCGTGCAAGCTACCACTTCCCAACCCCCCCTCTCCCCCTTGCGTTTTGTTTATAGTAATTATAAAGCACTGTCTAAGACAACCACCTGTCTAAGACAAGCACCTGTCTAAGACAACCACCTGTCTAAGACAACCACCTGTCTAAGACTGAGACGCTTTCCCACTCTCGACCATGTCGACAATATATGGCTGTCTTCCACAAGTTCGACAATTATTTCGACAATTTCCGTTGTATTTGACCCTACTTTAACTTGAGCCAGCGTCCTTGGTGTAGCAGTTAGACATTCGCTGTTGCACACAGAAGACTTTACACTTACATTAAAAACTATAACACATTTTCAAATGTCGAAATGCGGCAATCAGTTCAATAATTTGATCCTACTCTAATTTCCATTCTCTACATTTAACCCAAACAAAACCCCCAACAAAACAAACAAAAAACAAACACAAAAAAACGCTTTAAAAAACCAAAACAGCAACAAACAGACAAAAACAAAACATAAATTCTAGATCTAGTATTGATTGCTAGTATTTGATTATGGTTTTCACTCCAATCTTGAAATGCAAAAAAAAAAATTAAAAAATTCTAGTATGAATTGTTCGTATTAATTTTGATCTTACACTAACTTGACCTCTTTATCTCTCACCCCCCCCTCCTCCTCACCTCCCTCTTCCTCCCTCCCCCTC